GTAATGCTGAATAAATTAAGAACAAAGACAACAAAGGATTATATTGGACTCCAACCAAGTATCCAGGGAGGTATTTAACAGTTGCAGATTTAAAGATGAAATGCTTTTTTCCCTCTTTCCTTTATTTCCTTGCACAACTCAGACTTGTGCCGAAGCTGAAACATGTTGTAGTCTATTGTGTTAACGACCTGGAATAATGGTCCATAATGATAACAAATCCAAATATATTCTAAAAAAAAACTATTAAGTGAAACATAGACAACCAAATATCTTATAATACAAATGTATATCAATAAATATACACAAATAATAAAGTATATTAAGATAGTATGTGTATACATAAAAGCATTTTAAGGTACACTACAAGTAGCTGTAGTTACATTAGGTTTAATGTTCCTTCTCAAGAAGATATGCTACATTTGTCACGGTATATGGGTGAGTTTTATTGCTGATTAAATTATGTTTTATGCGCTGAATTGAGATGCTCTTCATCCCTTAAGACTTCTTCTAACTGGATGATCATACAAGTCTCAGATTGCGTGTAAGCAAGGCAGCCTTAAGTGGTATATTTATATTAATTAGGCTTAGGAGAAGAGACAGAATATTTTGTCTACTACTTAAATCAAATGTATGATTTTATGTTATGTTTTAAACATTTTCCCCGCTGCAATGGTTGAATGGTATCTGTATGGGCTGCACACCAATACACCACTACTACTTTAACTATGATCAAATAAAAGATGTATGAAAATAAGATAAAAATAATTGGACATGATGAGAAAAACACTAGGATGTAAAGATAATTCTAAGAATCATCATATCATCAACAATTTCCAACATCATCAACAATCTCATCCACTTTCAATATCAATCTCAGCCAAGGATGAGTGCACTAGACACCCACCAGTACAAAGCATGAGATATAATTCAATTAGGGTTCACAGCTCACACGGGTACATGGTCATTAGTAGATGGCCCTTCAATCTCTTCTTGAAAGAGGCTCTGGACTCTATTTCAGCGAGGTAGTTTGGCAATGAGTTCCATTCCATTATAGCTCTATAAGACACAGAAGATTTCAGAAGATTTGTCCTGGGTTTAGGTGCCAGTAGATGGCCTGATGTAGCTTATCTAGTCTTATGGTCATGCTCGTCTCGTGTAAACTATTTGATCATAAAAATACAGTGTTTTTTTGCTAAATTGGACATTTTTTAGAAAAGTGATAACACGAGATTGCAGACGTTTCTCAACTGGAAGCCATGATAGGTTTTTATGCATAACTCCAATATGAGTGCGCTTCGAACAGTGGAGAGCTAGTCTGGCAGCCTTGTTTTGAGCTATTTGTAATTTCTGTATATGTGTTTTTGCTGCTGATGACCGGACAGTACTCAAGATGTGACAAAACCAGAGACTGAATGACTTGTTTCAAAGTGGTTGGTGTTACATACTTTGTACATTTTCTCATCACAGCTATGCTCCTTCCCATTTTAGTTACGATACTGTCTATTTGCTTTGTCCACTGTAAACCAGAATCAAGAACAATGCCAAGCAACTTAGTCTCGTTTACCTGTTCCACTGGCTGACCAGCCAGTGTCAGGCTTAATGAGGATTGCTGCTTAACATATGTCTGGATCCGAACACCATTGCTTTTGTTTTTGCAATGTTGAGTACCAGTTTGTTGTTGTTGACCCAGTCTGCTATGGCTTTAATCTCTATTTTAAGTAGATAGTTTAACTCACTGCATGTTGATGCTGTACTGTACATTGTGGAATCATCAGCATACATTATTACACTGGACTTATTTAATACGTAAGGAAGGTCATTTGTGAATATAGAATACAACAAAGGCCCAAGCGAACCCCACACTGCAACACCTTACTTTCAGAAAAGCTCCCATTGAGAAAGACTCGCCTTCTCCTAGTCAGGTAGCTCTCCATCCAACACATAGCAACAGAACCAAAGTCATAGCATTTGAGTTTGTTCAGCAGCAGACTGATCGATTACATCGAAAGCTGCGCTAAAGTCTAACATCACAGCTCCTACAAGCCTCCTATCATCCATGCTCTTGAACCAGTCGTCGGTCATTTGTGCAAGTGCTGTTCTTGTAGTGACCATCTCCGTAGGCATGTTGGTAGTTCGTTGTCAGATTGTTACTTGAAAAGTAGCATTGAATTTGGGTGTATTCTATTTCTTCTATGAATTGACTTGGCACTGGGAGGAGACCGATAGGTCGACTATTGGAACCAGCAAAGGATTTTCTTTTATCCTTGGGTAATGGGATGACCATGGCTTCCTTCCAGATCTCGTGTCCTGTCTGTGGGTTTGGCTGGAGAGGACTGAGGTCTTTCTCTGGGAGGACGACCAGGCCTGAGGGAGGAGGACCAGGCCTGATGGAGGAGGACCAGGCCTGATGGAGGAGGACCAGGCCTGATGGAGGAGGACCAGGCCTGATGGAGGAGGACCAGGCCTGATGGAGGAGGACCAGGCCTGAGGGAGGAGGACCAGGCCTGATGGAGGAGGACCAGGCCTGATGGAGGAGGACCAGGCCTGATGGAGGAGGACCAGGCCTGATGGAGGAGGACCAGGCCTGATGGAGGAGGACCAGGCCTGATGGAGGAGGACCAGGCCTGATGGAGGAGGACCAGGCCTGAGGGAGGGAACCAGGCCTGAGGGAGGAGGACCAGGCCTGATGGAGGAGGACCATACTGGGCACAGCTGTCCCAATCACATGATGGTCCTGTTTGAAGACACACTATTCACTGTATTGGTCTTTAATGTCATATCTGCTTTTNCTGTTTACAGGAGAGGTATTTCTCCGTCGAGTAACACTTATCGGAGGTTTGACTTCTATGCCCTCTAACAGGGTGAGAGTTATCAAAAATTTTCCTGTGAATTGTCCGTCTATGGTGGACTTCACAGTCTCCTCTGGTTTCTGACCTAGTGCAGCGTCCAGTGTGTTTTCTGTGGATGAATTCCCCTGAGGGAAGGGGGTAAGAGTATCGAAAAATACCGGTATCGATAAGCCGTATCGGTACCCATCCCTAGTAAGGACTTGTTGTTGACCTGACACAGCCTTGTCAGACAGTTGGCCCCTTGACTCGCTCCGTCACATAAGTGGCTCCCAGCACTGTCTGTTTCAGGCAGCAGTTAGTGACAGATTAGCTCCCCTTAAAGCTGCTAGATGGGTTAAAAGTAGCAAAACCAGGCTGTGTTTACTCCCAAATAGAGGTAAGGCTGTAGTAGTCACTTTTAGAAAGACCCAGTTCCACAGAGAGATGCTAGCATATTGCCTAACCGCGTGGTGTGCCAGCTGCTCAGAAAAGGACAGGAAAGCTCTTCGGAGGGTCATCAACACAGCCCAGAAGGTCATCGGCTGCTCACTGCCTTCTCTGGAGGAACTCTTCAGCCAACGTTGCCTCAACAGAGCAGGCAAAATAATTGCAGACTCTTCACACCCTGGACACTTCCTGTTTGCTCTTCTGTAGACGCTACAGGTCAATTAAATCAAGGACAAACAGACTGAAAAACAGTTTCTACCCCAGAGCCATACGAGAACTGAACACCGTCAAACGCTGAACTAGTACACACAGTAACAATTTGCAACTGCACTACTTTTTAATAGTTTTATTAACTGATCGACATCAGAGATGCCAAATATCATCCCTGTGTTTTTTATATTGTAAACTGTATTTAAATGATGTGCGGGCTGTATGCATGTTGGTATGGATGTGTGAGCATATGATTATATGTTTATATAGTATAGATATATATTTGTTCGTATTATGTGGAAATGCGCTGCGAGGATTGATTTTTTTAAATGTCGTTGTACATGGTGAGACAATAAAGGAATTATATTCTGTAGTAGTCACTTTAAGAAAGACCTAGTTCCACAGAGAGATGCTGTGCCAATCAACTTGGAATGTATTAAGGGACCCTTCATGTATTCTGTTTTTAAGGTATGGTTGTGATACTCCTTGCGGTAGCTGGTTGTTATTTGTTGAGTATTGCTTTTGACCTTAAGTCTCGAGAGCATTTGTTCATCATCTACTGATTCAACAGAATCTCCACCCACCTAAAGTTCCCTGACACCATGAACACACCCTGAAAGGAAACACTGGACAAACAATGGAAACCTTTTTAGAGCCAACCTTTTGGAAACACCGTGATACGTTGTACGTGTTGTCTTTCTTTGTCTTATCTTCTTCAATGAAAAGAAGTTGCATTTCTTACTTAGTTGCCAGCTCAATATCAAAGTGTTTCCATACAAAAGCAACATGGGCGCACCCATTGAATTAAAATCAGTTTTGTCTTTGGATTGTGACCCAATGAATATTGAAATAGTATACAAATAGCTACTTACTGGGAAATATGGTGCATTCCTGTATGAGATGCTATTGGTTTTGAGAGTTACAAAAGCGACTTTTATATGGTGGAAGCAGTGAACTTAGGTTATGATAAGGACTGAGGTTGGACATTAGGAAGCACAATTACATCCTGTTGAATTCCCACAACGGATAATTAAATCATTTACCCACATTAACCATGTCAAGATATTTCCCCTGCTCTTCCCCTTCTTCCATGCTGTGTGTCAATGTGTCATCTAATAAAAAGGGAGTTTTTCAGTCTTTACATAAACACACATTACCGGGAAGTGATTTATGTGTGGGACCAACAACAAACCCGATGCAATACCATTAATGAATAAAAAAGTAGAAAGTGATGACGTTTTTTTTTACATTCACTTAAATGTTTGTGCTAGTAGGAATGTAACCTCAACATAATTTGTCATGCAGTGTATAAACTGCACCCTTTGTCATTGAAGCGCGATGGCTGGTTGACTTGTAATACCCGTCATTACAGTGGATATTCCAGTTTCAGGAACAGCATGTCATTGTTGTGCTTCAGTAAATCACACCCGTCCAGTAAGGAAACTCTTTCTCCTAAGGTGGGCGGGGTAAACACAGCAGAGGGGGCGTGTGCCGAGATGAAGTCAACTTTAAAGATGAGGGAGAGCTTTACCTTGGCAGAATGCTCCTGGAAGCTTTAGTGTTAAGTCCTGGTTGGGGACAAATATAGCCGGGGAGGATCCACCTCAAGGGGGTAGTTAGCTGATCCTGCTGCGCATGGAGACACTCTCCGCCTCGCTCTTCCTCTCGCACAGCCGACGGCTCACTCACAGCTAGACCACTAAACCAACCCGGTTGCTCGATAGCTGATTTTACAATGTGTGGCAATGGAGGAAGCTGTTAGAGGAAGAATGATCTGATCTGTGAGGCAGAGCCCTGTTCTCCAGCTGAGTCGACCTGAGGCAGCATCCTTGCTTTCATGTGTACAGTCATGAAGTTTAACCAGAGCGTACTGCAGGACATGTCCGACAACAACAACAACGACAACAAAGTCTGGAAATGGTGAGAGTCTTTCTCCTGACAGTTTAAAAAAAAGAGCTTATGGCAGTAGTTGTTCATCAAATATTTCAAAGCTTGGCTAGTCTAACTGGCAGGGGACTTGTTAACTCTTGTTGTTAACCATTATTTTCCCTTTAATGCATCTATGTGTATTTATATATTATCTTACCTAATTTTAGCTCATGTTATGCTGAAATTCATTTTTGGAACCTTTTTTAAGTAGTTACAGTTAGCTAAGTTTGAATATTTTAAATGCTATTTGGTGTATTTTATAGCTTGTGAATCTTTTTTTATATAAAATGAACATATTTAGATGTGCTATAAATATATATTGTAAATACTTTCTATTTGTGTCTTGGCCCCCATTCTAAAGCCTAAAATGGAGTTTCTCAACACATGTTTGATATGTAAATATAACTGCCACCGTTTTTGGCTTTGTTTTGTTTCTAATTTGTCCTGATTGCATAGGGATGGACTGATATCTAGATTGAATTTAATTTTAGTCCCACAAGTGACAGTGTGTGCATGGTATCACAGGCTGGCTGTTGTGTAGACAGAGCGGGGTCGCTGATGAAAGAGGAAGGTCTCGGGTGGGGATGCTTTCAGGTGGTCAGAACAGAAACGGCCTATGAATAGATCACAGCTTGTCACCGTTTCAAATGCTAATGAAGTTTTGATTGTGTTTGTGTTTGAAACCAGGCCTGCCCAACTTCCGTTAATTCCACGGTTAATGAGGTTCACTCAATTTAGGAAGTGTTTTTTTTCTAGTTGGGTTGTTTACCTCCCTTTGTACAAAGTTGAAAGACTGCAAGGGACTGACACAATGCCCTGTGCATTAGAAGGGAATCTAATACTGATAATTACCGCCTTGTTTGGTTTAAAGGCTTGAGTTTGTGGTATTTTGTGTTTGTTTGGTGTGTTTGATACTTTTTGAATTGACAGAGCAGCAGGTTATTTTAATGATAGTTGTGTGTGTGTTGGAATCACTGGCCTCTGATGTGTTCTCCTGGCATGTTCCTCAACCAGCAAGGTATATTTTATTACTGAGACGGTGTCTGATTTATTTAAATATTTACAGTGGTAGATAGTTGGCCACATGTGCGGCCAACAGGGCCGGTCCTTGGCATAGGCAGTATAGGCGAATGCTAAGGGCGCATCAACCCATCGGGGGCGCCGAAAATTGAAGAAAAAAAAAAAGTTAGACATTTTTTTTAAAAGTCCCAATTTTGGATCAACAAAGAACATCTTATTATCTTATACTAACATAACTACACCTATAACAGCGCCCATAAACTATGGCACCCCCCCCACAAAATCAAGTTGAACTGCCCCAGCCCCAGTAAAAATGTGAAATTGTTGGTTTTAGTGTGCAATTATAGGTTTTAATTTTGTATTTGTGTTCATTTAAAATAAATCAAACTCCCAAAAAACGTATACAGCTTCTGTGTGCTTTTATTAACATTGGAATTTACTGTGTAAGCGGCCGCGGGGAGGAGAGCTTTAGAGAGCTCTCTCCTGAAAGACTGAGCGGCTCTGATAACCTCAGCTCAGTGAGGTAAAGGCACACCTTTATATGATCATTATAGTTGTAAAAAAATAAGAGAATAGGTGAAAAACAGGTATAAAATACTATATGACAGTACAAAAAAGTTGTTATTAATAAACAAGAATACAGTTTTTGAAAGGGGAGTGATTTGTAAAATATCCATAAAGAAAATCTGTTTCCAGTTCTGTTTCATATCGTGTTGAGAGATGTATCCATAGATCTCCTAATGTTGCTCTCAAAGTGCACCAGATTGATGCTTTTAACTTCAACATTTAAAAAAGCTAAAATCTTGCCTTGGGCAGCAAATTGGTCAGGGGCGGCCAATGTTGAAACACTGCTGATATCTGAGAAGAGTGGAAAATAAATCATCATTTGAAGGTTAATGGGGGCGTGTATGCTGGTTCTTCCTGTAAACTGCCATGTCATAGCACCTGTGTAGAGGTTTTATCTAGTTGAATGTTGTGTTTGTATAATCTGTTGTAATCATTCCTTTAGTTATGATCTTCCTATTCAGTTATTTAGTCTTGGTTATGTCCCCTGATGATATGAAATGCTTGAAATCAACATTCTCTACATGTGATCAGTCGCATCAGTAACGGACTAATGTATGACGGGGCAAACGGGAGCCATCATCAGACGCTGCTGTTGTTCGGCTAGTTTCAGCTTTATTTTATCCCCAGATTTAATATTTGTGGTCCCGGTCCATATTAGTTTCAGCCTCAAGGAGGTCAGATTTTCATGCTTCCTGCTTTTAGTCAAGTCATGATTATGTGTGCTTTTTCGTCCCGGTTTAGCTTCACAACTCGTGGCTCCCCGCCTACAGTCTAGATAGTACAGATTGCATTTTGCTTATAACAGCTATATTTAATGCACTTTTTTCCTCTCACATTTGTAACTTTCCGTTGTCTTTCTCGAAGTATGGTGCCAATGATATCCTTGATCCTGTGTAGGGGTTAGATAAGGTGAAGGCCATGAGACAACACACAGGGTCTTTAACCCGGTGGCTCTAATTGGATATCAGCTAAGCTGTCCTGGCTATGATGATGCTTTGCTTAAATAACAGCTATGTTTTACGTTCTGAGGCTCAGCGCTCAGACCTGACGTAACGTTGTGTTGTTTTCAGGCACATTCAGGACCCCGCCAGCCAGAAACTGACGTGGAACAAGCCACCAAAAAGTGTCCTTGTCATCAAGAAGATAAGAGATGCCAGTCTGCTTCAGCCTTTCAAGGAGCTCTGCATATTCCTCACCGAGGTATGGCCACGTGTTCACTGACAGTATATCTGATGTTTATTATTCAAAGTCCTCACTATCAATTCCTTAACTTTGTTGTTCTTGTAGGTGAAGGAAATGATTGTTTATGTGGAAAAGAAAGTTCTGGAAGATCCTGCCATATCAGACGATGAAAACTTTGGAGCCATTACTGAGAAATTCTGCACTTTCAGAGACGGTATGAGAACCAGCCATCTTCAGAACACTGTAAATAAAAGACTGGATCTTTAATTTAAAATCTGTATTGCCTTTTTTTATTTCTCAGATCTTGATGACATCTCCAATCGCGTAGACTTCATCATCTGTCTCGGTGGAGACGGAACTTTGCTCTATGCATCTTCGCTTTTTCAGGTATTCACTACTGACAATGTGTGGGTCTTCTTTTGTTTGCAATTCCTGGTATGACACAGTCCTCTAACCCTTACCTTTTTGTTTATTTGTAGGAAAGCGTTCCACCAGTTATGGCCTTCCACCTGGGCTCCCTGGGTTTCCTGACACCTTTTAAATTTGACACCTACCAGTCTCAGGTGGACCAGGTTATCGAAGGTACTGATTGTTTTCTAATCTCTCTTTAAACACAGTGCTCCAGCTTGTATATGCAAAAGACTATAATACATGTTTCCTATATAGGTAACGCTGCCATCGTTCTACGAAGTCGCTTGAAAGTCCGGGTGCTTAAAGACAACTGGGAGAAGAAGGCCAGATTGGACGAGAAGGGCATCATCCTGACCAATGGGGACACGGAAAGCAGACGGAAAAGCGTGCAGTATCAGGTAATATCTGAAGCTTAAATCACTTCTTTATAACACATCAACAAAACCATTTTGAGCCAAGATAAAAATACTTTTTTAGTCATTTTAGGGTGCGTTCACACCTGCCTTGTATAGTCCGGTTGAATCGAACCCTGGTGCGTTTAGCCGCTTGGTGCGGTTCATTTGGGTCAGTGTGAACACAGTCCGAGACCTCTTAAGTGAACTAAACAATCGGACTCTGGTCTGCTAAAATAGGTGGTCTCGGAACGCTTGCAAACTCTGGAGCGGTTCATTGCTTCTGTGAACGCAGTCCGCACCCAAACATAGGAAGCGTAGTATTTACGTCTTTAGCGAAAGAGTCTTTCAAGACATCCGCGGTTGTTTAGTTAAAGAGTAAAGCAGAATTAAGTGTTGAACAGTGTCGTGTAAAGTAAAAATTCTCCGTCAGCTACATAAAAGTAAGAACACCTGTCGTCGGTGAAATCACTCCCCGTAAATCTATCACTCCTCTATTACCGAACAATATACCCACCCTCACTAAACCCTCCCGTCACTCCCTCTCCAACGTCTCTATAGTGCGAAAGGTCCATAATTTTAATGGCACTTCTTGACCTCAACATGCCAACTCTGCCACCCCTGCTCACATTTCTCCTCCTTCTATTCCTACTCTAATATCGCACAGTACTACTACGCAGTGCAACGCTGTCACCGAACTGTACCTCGCTTAAACACGGTTCAACCCTAAAACAGTTCACGACGCATCTCAATTAGGTTTTGTACAGACTCGCCCACGAAGCCACTTACATCGCCGCCCAGCTGCTACCTCACATGGATATACTACGACCATACTGACTTCCTCTGCTCTCACACTAACCTCCACCAGTTACCCTCTGTATCGTCCCGACACTCCTCACATCATAATACAAGTGTACTCTCGCCGGACACGCCATTATACCTTACCTGTAACAAACACTGTACGTTCGCGTACCGTTCGAATCGCCCGATCACCAAGGTGTCTCCCTACACCTGCCTTATCAACATAACACACTCTGCTCCTTTTAGGTGCCGTCACCACTTGTCCACCTCCCTGACACTCAGTCACGCCCTCTAGCCCTTGTCTCACCGTTCGTGAAGCTCATTACATCTACCTTCCCAGTATCCTCACCAAGTGCTCATCATCAGGTGCCAAAACAACGGCACCCCTCGCCTCTATCCTCTAGAACAATTCTCCCCAGCCTCCTATCCTCGCTACATCCGTCAAATATAAAACGCGCTGTTTCGACCACACTAACCTGACTAAAAAGTGACACCGTGCTCACCAAACTTCGGACGAGACCTTCAAGTACCACATCGCACTCAACAGTAGAGTTCGGTATATCTATCAAATCAGAATCAAACTCACTGACAGTATAGGACACAGCCTATTATGTCTCATATCAACTTGTCCTTACAGATATCTAATCAACCACCCTCCCCAACACCTCCTACGACCCACGACAAGCGCTCTATCCTAAACTCTCAACTCGTTGAATCTTACTTAAAACAGATTACAACATCCTCTCGGTATAGTAACGATGGTCTGCCCTCCGACCACCCCCTTCAAGGCTTCTCCTCACGCACTCCTCCTCCCGTCGCCCTAAGGTGACTGCAATGTACTCAAATTGGTCGAGAGCACACACGCCAGTGGCTCTTCCTGCTGTCAACGTCATGTCCACACAAACCAGTAAACTAGTCTTACTGAGCATCATAATTGTGGTTCGAAACCCTCAATACAAACCGAGCCTTTACGACAAGTTTACCAAAGGTACACCCAGTAACTGTAATTTCCACCCACCATTTTTGCGTTAGAGCAATATACTACCCGATTCATTGCAGTCGCCTACGGAGGCAGGCGGTACCTCAGTAGCCGTAGCACAAGACCGTCATACTAAGAAGTTAGTTACGACCGACAAAATCCCCGCTACTAGTTAGACTGTTGAATCAGCGGCCGGAAAAAATCGTACAGTCTCATACTTAATAGTCATAGTTGACAGAGCATCATTTTATGATAATAATCTTCAACACGAAATCAACATATGATAAATTAATGACTAATGACTAACCAAGTATAAGTCAACTTGTGCTATCTTCCACTGATAGACACCAATGATATCAAGAGTCTTGTCGCTGTCTGGCGACAGTTCACATAACAATAACTGGACCGCAACAATTACCTCGCAGACAACAGAAAGTGCTCATGACCAGTAGATATTGCTTCAGGCAAGCGTAAACAGACTCTTTAGATTTAACCGCGTAACGTCAAAGACAGAATTAGCTTAACTAATGGATTACTGTTCTCGCCTAGTTGGTCTTTCGATGTCTAGACCAATCTCTATTGTCCCCGTCTCTTGGGAGAAAAAATGCCGATACCGCCAAGAGTGGATACTGTAATACTGTCATAAAGTCAATGACCGCTGTGTTATATATGTCATACGCAGTTCAGATGCGATTAACAACCGAAATCCGCCTATATACTCCACTGAAGTCGCGTATTATGAAGGAGTTAGCCCATAAATCTGCTCATTACATTAAAGCGATAGCCTTAAATTTCGTTCCCGTCAGCTCACCAATACTGTTTCAGACATTCTTCAGTTATTTAAAGAGCACATCTCTTTTTCTTATCAGCACATGTAGCTCCAAGTCTACAGGACAATACAGGTAACGAATAGACAAGATCAAACGTCTTTAGCTCTCATATGTATTGTTAGAAGCACGTGATTTAAAGAACTGAAGAAACTCAGTAAACGCCAAATAATCGTAAAGATACTAACTTACAAGTTATGTATAGATTAATAACTAATTAATTATAATATATTTCTCTAATAATCAAAAGCATTCATGGTGTTTCATCCGTACATTAGTTAATTCACAACCACACTCAGCTCACATGCACGAACAATGAGAACAACTCTTACACCCGGTACATTATTCGCCCGTTATTACACGTCGCTGCACCAGGTAACATACCCTTTCTTGGTGGGCTGTCCGGGACTTTAGTCCTCGGGCTGCGCTTCGCTCCCTAGATCTAGCCGTTACTTCCACAAGAAAAGGGGTAGTTACTGCGCGGCGGAGTGTAATAGGTACTCTCTGCAAGGACGTCAT